GGGGCTCCCTCTCTATGATTTCCCCTATGGGGCTCCCTCTCTATGATTTCCCCTATGGGGCTCCCTCTCTATGATTTCCCCTATGGGGCTCCCTCTCTATGATTTCCCCTATGGGGCTCCCTCTCTATGATTTCCCCTATGGGGCTCCCTCTCTATGATTTCCCCTATGGGGCTCCCTCTCTATGATTTCCCCTATGGGGCTCCCTCTCTATGATTTCCCCTATGGGGCTCCCTCTCTATGATTTCCCCTATGGGGCTCCCTCTCTATGATTTCCCCTATGGGGCTCCCTCTCTATGATTTCCCCTATGGGGCTCCCTCTCTATGATTTCCCCTATGGGGCTCCCTCTCTATGATTTCCCCTATGGGGCTCCCTCTCTATGATTTCCCCTATGGGGCTCCCTCTCTATGATTTCCCCTATGGGGCTCCCTCTCTATGATTTCCCCTATGGGGCTCCCTCTCTATGATTTCCCCTATGGGGCTCCCTCTCTATGATTTCCCCTATGGGGCTCCCTCTCTATGATTTCCCCTATGGGGCTCCCTCTCTATGATTTCCCCTATGGGGCTCCCTCTCTATGATTTCCCCTATGGGGTTCTCTCTCTGTGAATTTCCCTATGGGGTTCCCTCTCTATGATTTCCCCTATGGAGTTCCCTCTCTGTGATTTTCCCCTATGGGGTTCCCGCTCTATGATTTCCCCTATGGGGTTTCCTCTCTATGATTTTCCCCTATGGGGTTCCCGCTCTATGATTTCCCCTATGGGGTTTCCTCTCTATGATTTTCCCCTATGGGGTTCCCGCTCTATGATTTCCCCTATGGGGTTTCCTCTCTATGATTTTCCCCTATGGGGTTCCCGCTCTATGATTTCCCCTATGGGGTTTCCTCTCTATGATTTTCCCCTATGGGGTTCCCGCTCTATGATTTCCCCTATGGGGTTTCCTCTCTATGATTTTCCCCTATGGGGTTCCCGCTCTATGATTTCCCCTATGGGGTTTCCTCTCTATGATTTTCCCCTATGGGGTTCCCGCTCTATGATTTCCCCTATGGGGTTTCCTCTCTATGATTTTCCCCTATGGGGTTCCCGCTCTATGATTTCCCCTATGGGGTTTCCTCTCTATGATTTTCCCCTATGGGGTTCCCGCTCTATGATTTCCCCTATGGGGTTTCCTCTCTATGATTTTCCCCTATGGGGTTCCCGCTCTATGATTTCCCCTATGGGGTTTCCTCTCTATGATTTTCCCCTATGGGGTTCCCGCTCTATGATTTCCCCTATGGGGTTTCCTCTCTATGATTTTCCCCTATGGGGTTCCCGCTCTATGATTTCCCCTATGGGGTTTCCTCTCTATGATTTTCCCCTATGGGGTTCCCGCTCTATGATTTCCCCTATGGGGTTTCCTCTCTATGATTTTCCCCTATGGGGTTCTCTCTCTGTGAATTTCCCTATGGGGTTCCCTCTCTATGATTTCCCCTATGGGGTTCCCTTTCTAAGCTGTCTGGTTATCACTTCTCCTCCCCTGAAGATCCAGCTGAAGCCTCCCTTGGGTTCGGGGATATGAGAGGTCTCTTAGAAGGGACATTTATTATTTGGATTATCTATCAAACTTTCTTTTGGTATAATTCTATCTTCTTATGACCCCGCCCCTTCCCATATATTTCCATTCTCCCAATCCTCATTTACCTTCTGAATATGAATCATAATATATGACACAGGAGTGATTCTTCTCAGCATTGGTGTGTACTGGGGGCAGAGTGGGAGGACATCACAGGAGATGACAGAAAAAGGGAAGAAGAGTCACCTCATTGTAGGACCTCAGAATCCCCCATTCACCAATATCACAGACCAGGCCGGCTGATGGGAGACCTAATGCAGTTACACAGATTGCGTCATTCCTATTCACAGACTGAATGATGGAAATCTCAGAGATATCTCATCCAGTCCTCACCCAACTGGTCATTACGTGAGGTCAGACCCACCATCATTAATGGTTGTTAAGCTCCTGCAGTGTGAGGATTCTTGTTGTTCCTGCCGGGATAAGGCCGCAGAAAAGTCTTAACACTTGTGGAGCAGGAGACTTGTGGACAGAGACATGCAGTCTCCACCACCACAACTACGAGAAAATAGGAGATCTACTTGTATGATCCGACTACTTTATGGAAACATGCAACCAGGAGGTTTGTACAACCAGGATTTGGTCTGGAAATGGCCACCACAGAGAAGTGAAATACTGATGGTGATGTGCCAAGGGTTCAGTGAAGATAAAGACATCCATTGGGAGGTCTTCAGGGTGCTTTCGCTCCAGCAATGGTAAAAGGAAGCTGGGACTCACATGGTAGTCTCCTCCAACTCGTGACTGTTAACATGGAACCTTCCATGTATATATCTGTAACGAAACCTCTAACCCATATCGAGACCCTTATTCCTTCACTTACCTCAACCATGTCCATGGAGAGGGCAAATGTTACTACTGATGGGACTCTGGTGGTGAGGACTACATTCTGAGTTCCCAGGCCTGAACACCTACCATGGTCCACCAAAACTCCCAGGTGGGTGGAACAGGACCAGGAACCTTGCTTAGGTGATTCTCTATTGCATTCCTCCAGATATACAAGCCAGAAGGTCTCCAGACCCCAGCCAAAACCAGAACCAAATCACTTTGGGTGGATTTAAACCATTAATCCCGACTGAGCAACTTGTATTCATTAGTTTTATATCAACTTATATCACCTCCATTGTCTATCTATCTATCTATCTATCTATCTATCTATCTCCTTTCTCTCTCTCTATCTATCTATCTATCTATCTATCTATCTATCTATCTATCTATCTATCTATCTATCTATCTATCTATCTATCTCCTTTCTCTCTCTCTCTATCTATCTCTCTATCTATCTCTCTATCTATCTCTCTATCTCTCTATATCTATCTCTCTATCTATCTATCTATCTATCGGGATGTGTTTCCTAACAGCCTTGATGTGAGGCTCATGTTTTCCAAGGCCTTTCGCAGGGACTATATCCAGGGACAATGTGTTCTGCAGCACCTACCAGACTCTGCTGGGAAGGCTCTAGAGTCCTGTGTCAGGGGTGGGACTTGTCATCGATGGGTTGGATCAAGCTTTGATAAAACAGGAAGGCTCTGGTCTGGAAGGTTCTGTTGGGGGAGTGAGGTGTCCTTAGCTATGGGGAGGGTGGTTCCCCTCGTGGACCTCTGCGGAGGCCACATGGACCTGAAATGTCTTCCTGTTTTGTTGCTCCTGAATGCTGAGAGCTGCTCAGAAGCTGAGACCCCTGAAGAGTTGAGTCTTCCTCCTCCTAGGGGGTTAGGGTTCCGATGGAGTAATAAAGATTTAATGACTCCCACATAGGAGGCTCAGGATACCTAATGAGAGGATGTATGTTCACCCCGAAACACCCCTAAATATCTTTCTATACCCCTTCAGCCTCTCCATAACCTCCAGTATCAGTGGGGCTGACCAAAGCAGATCCATGATCAGAGAAACATCTGACAACATCGCTCATATTAATCCTACAATGTTATCCATGAAGAGGTCCCTGGAGACCAAAATGTACAAACAACACTGAGGAACCCCCAGAATGTCCCCGTCATCTCATCACCCGGACCCACTTCTATGGGAGAGACAAGGACAGAAAAAAGGAAAATGGTGAAGAAGAAAGAAAACAGGAAGCAGCAGAAGAGCAAAGAAATTCTTTATTGATCAGCAGAGACAGATGTGAGCTGAGGTTGGGCCACCACACTCCATGTACACCGTCCCATGACACGTCCTCCTGCCCCCGCTCACATACACACCACACACAGACACGGCGCAGGGCTATGTACAGCACAATGACAACCACTGAGTCTACACACATCATACATGACTTCTGCATTCCATGGGAGGGACAGAGACTCGGACAGCAGGGAGAAGTCACGGAGAGAGGGAGGCAATAGAGAGTCTTGGGAGAGATGGAGGTTTTACGAGAGACCTCCATCCAGTGAGATGCGTGAAGAGGACAGAGGTGCCATGGTGAACAGCAGAGGAGGCCACAGGAGAGGATGGTGGTGCAAGGACTTGGAAGCGGCATGTGATGGCAGGAGAGTGACACTTGGTAGAAGTCAGGGCTTAGAGGGAAGTGATGTCATTAAGGGCATTGTCCAGCTCCTCACTGATGGCCTTGTACCTCATCTTCTGAGAATAGACCTCATCTGTGGAGCACACAACACAAGGGGGACACCGAAAACCACACGAGGGGAGGAGGGGGAACCAGCGATAAAACGTGTGTTATATGGGACAAGGGGTGACGTGGGAGGATCCAGCCAGGACAAGGAGGTGCGGGGACAGAAAACAGGGACAGAAAAAAGAGGCATGCACATACGTGAGAATAGAAGAGTGAAAAGTCATAAAACCAAAACTGTCCACACAAAACCCAACTGACTGGGACCATCCTGGAGGGCAAAGCCACCCTACGAGTGTTCAGTGATGGAAGACCACAATGGTGAGATTTCCCCCAGTAGTTGTGTCTCTGCCCCTCCCACAATGGTGAGATTTCCCCCTGTAGTTTGGTGTCTGTGCCCCTCCCACAATGGTGAGATTTCACTCCAGTAGTTTGTGTCTCTGCCCCTCCCACAATGGTGAGATTTCCCCCTGTAGTTTGGTGTCTGTGCCCCTCCCACAATGGTGAGATTTCCCCCTGTAGTTTGGTGTCTGTGCCCCTCCCACAATGGTGAGATTTCCCCCTGTAGTTTGGTGTCTGTGCCCCTCCCACAATGGTGAGATTTCCCCCTGTAGTTTGGTGTCTGTGCCCCTCCCACAATGGTGAGATTTCCCCCTGTAGTTTGGTGTCTGTGCCCCTCCCACAATGGTGAGATTTCCCCCTGTAGTTTGGTGTCTGTGCCCCTCCCACAATGGTGAGATTTCCCTCCAGTAGTTTGTGTCTCTGCCCCTCCCACAATAGTGAGGACATGATAATAAGTGGAAGGATTCGGGGAACAGAGTCATTTTACCTTCCAGGTCATCGATGGTTTTCTCCAGCTTGGCTACGGATTTCTCAGCAAACTCAACTCGAGAATCAGTCTGCAACATGAAGAGAAAGGACAATCAGACCATGACTGTGGACCCTCAGTCCCCATCACCCCGTCTGATTGGCCCCGGCATGCACCTCCTTATACATCAACAGGAGTGTCAATCAGACAATGACTGCTGAGAG